TGGACTTGCGTGGCCTTGTGGATCTGGCATCATGTCCGGAGCAATCCAGAGGTTTCTTGAAGGAACAGATGAGAGGCTTCCATGACTTGCTGAGACAAAACCCCACCTCTCTGTTCATATTGTTGGGATGGAGTTCAATCTCAATGGCCTCCCCAATGATGCGATTCATATAATGGGTCTTGGTGGTGAGAATTGAGGTATTCTGAAGCTGAATGTGGTGTCCCAAATCGATGCTGTGTTCAGCCACAGCTGACTTGTCCGCATGTGCCTCTGATGCTCCTTCAACCTCGTGTCCACAGAACGGCCCATCTGCCCAATATAGACCTTTATATTATTATATTTTTTGGTCCAGTACGTGTCGTTATCCAAAAAAGTGAAGTTACACTGAAACCTTGGCCGTGCCACAGCTCAAGCGGTTAGTTGCTGGCTTCCCACTGTGGCAGCCTGGGTTTGATCCTGGGTCTGGTCAAGTGGGATTTTTGGTGGACACAGTGGCACTGGGGCAGATTTTTTCCGAGTACTTCGGTTTACCCTGCCAATCTTCATTCCACCAATTGCTCCACAATCACCCTCACCTATCATCTGGGGCTGGTACAATAGGCCAGAAGTGGCCGCAGTACAAGGGACTTAGTCCCACCCCACTAGCAATAAAAAACATATACTGAAACCTCGATTTTACACTTTTTAAGGGGCTACCTAGAACAAGTGTAAAATCAGGGAGATGAGAACGTAAACAAAATTAGATTTTCCTTATACCATACCTTTCGACAATAACTTAAAAAATACATGTTTGAACACTTTACTATGTATATGTATATGCAAATATAGTTCTTGCTTTATTTTATGATCGTGTATCAACTGCAGTTTTCATGTGGCATCAGTAAGATGAGACAGTGATTATAACTGATGAATGGAAAGGTTGAGGAAGAAAGTGGAAGTAGTCTATTTCAAGGTACTATCCCAACATTCGTCTGGATAGAGTGGCAAATATGGTATGTACCCAGTTACGCTACTTCTTTAATCATTCAGGAAGAGACTTTTTCTTCTTCTTCTTCCTTTTCTGTCCAGCTCAGTCTGTATAATTCATTTTCAGCTTTGCCGCACATTGCAGTAATATTGTTCTTGATATAAAACTGACACTTGCTACCTTATGGCTGTTTCCACTACTTTCAGTGCATCCAAGAACTGCAACTTCCTCTTCCTCTTCTGGCCTAGTCAAATGCTGATCTAATACCTGGTCAACACTCTGGATGCTCTGGATTCCATAAACCTCAACAGCACCGTCACATGTTGTGCAGTCCATGAGGTTGTAAATTGTGCCAATCATCCTCTTCATCTTTACTGAGTTTCACTGCACTATCATTGCTGCTAACATGATCAACTGAGAAATCACATTTTACAAAGCAATTCTTGATTGCAGTGGGTGTTACTAGACTCCAGGTCTCTGCTGTGAAGTGCATTGCAGATAACAGACCCAGCTTCTTCAGTGTAACATCCTGAAGCAGTCCCGTGTCGACCATAGCTAGTCTTCTGAATCAGCTGCTTTCTGTAATGGCACTTGAGTGCATGGATGAGTCCCACACCTAAAGACTGTAGATTGCTGGAAGAAATAAACTTTGACGTTGCTGGAAAATGTGGCATTCTTGAGATAGGCAGCACATTGATCAATGAAAAGAGAGATTTTTCAGTTTAGTACTCAGTTTTCAATCTAGCTGTATGAGGTAATTTTCAAATATTTTGGTGGCCATCCAAGAATTTGTATTACCTTCACATTTTGTAAGTAGTCGCTTGACATTTCTGAAGCAATGCGGAGTTTCATATCTTCAAATTACGAGAGGTGGCTGTTTATTACTACACTAGCATTCAACACAAAGGGTACAGTAACCTGCTGTTTAGATTTGATACCACCATGACAAAAATCTCCTTCAAAAGTGAAGGTTTTGCTAAGTTGCAAATCGAAAAATAGACCACTTTTAGCAGCATAATACTATATATCACAGAAGTCATAAAGAAAAAAAAAAGTAAAGCTATCCCTGTAACAGGCCATGAAGGCCCATAGGGTTGTGAGACGTTAAGGGTCCCACATTACCTTGACAATCGGCTCAAAGATGGCGGTAAGGTTGTCAGCCTTACGAACCGGCTGCGCTTCACTCCCCAAGAAAATTATTTAATTAATTCCTGGTACTCATTTCTGTTAGAGGCTGAGTAAACCCCAGGGCCTAGTGTGGCCGGAAGGATTAGGTCAATTGAAAAAATCCAATGACCTCATCGGGAAGTCATAACCTTCAATTTCTTGCAACAGTCAGTAATTTGTCCAGTCTTCTCAACACTTATGCTCTCTCCTGACAGTTCTGTATACAATGTTGTCTCCCCTCTTAAATCTGCTGAACCATCCCCTGGAAGCCAAAAACTCTATTCCCAGATGAATGACAATGTGCAGCACCTTCTCCTTAAGGTGGGTGCTGTCTATGTAAGCATTACTGTCACATGCCTGCTTGATCCATGCCGCAAGTGCCGATTCCACTTTCTTCAGTGATACATATTTCAGTCATTTCTGCTGTTTCTAGGAAGGTCCACACTAGATATACCTTCTTTCAATTTCTTCGCAGTTCTTCACAACAGTGTATAGCATGGACACTGAAGGTCTCAAGCATGATGCCAGTTCAACATGTGCTTCAATATGTTCATCAACTAATGCTAATATTTATTTTTTCATTTATTACAAATTTTCATTTTCATTTATTATCTGTATTTCATCCTCTTTTTTTGTAAACTCCATCTTAATCAACAATCAAATTTGGTCTCTATGTAGTGAAGTGAGATGGGATGTGGGAGATTGAAGAATTTATTCTTGGTATATTTTGTTGAATGTTTCACTTATTGAAAACACAACTGCCATGTTGCAATGGTAATGTTTTGGGAACATTTGACATAAGACAAAGACACTGCTGTTCTTGAGTCACAGTTACACAAACAGACAAGAAGATCAAAGCTGGCCTAATGCACAAGCTGCTTAGATCTACACCAGTAGAAAAATCCACTACTCTGCAACAGGCACACATGGTGTGCACAAATCATTTCCAGCTCTATGCAACAGGTCTTAATGAAGTCACATGGTGTGCACAAATCACTTTCAGCTGTGCATCAGCCAAATGGTAGTACATACATTTAGACTGAACAATTTATGACTGCTAATAGGGAAGGAAGCCCATTGCCTCAAATAAGAAATTCTCAAGAAATGAACTACAAAACACAAAATTGAAGTTTCACTGTATGTACAAATTATTTACCCTACGCATCTATGATCTACAACTGGAGACAGGGTGTAAAGTCTCAGAGCATCACTGCTATATCAGCCTGTTTGGCTGTAGTGACTTGAAAAACAGAAGTTCATTTTTTTTTAATTTTTCTTAGCACTTTATCTTCTGAACCAAAAGTACAATGTAAATGACCTTATATAAATCTTTTGACAAAGTACCATGAACAATTTTTATTTAGCAGTCCTGATGAAAACCGATTTCATAAAGTTATGGCAGATTTTATTATTGTTCAGGTTCAACACACAGAACAAGCAAGCACTATAAAAACATAATTATCACGCTTATCAGTACTCATTCATACCAATTCCTTTCAAAGACTCATGAATACATCTGATACATAACACTCATACTCCAATCCACAATCTGATTTGAGAATCCTCTGGTTGCAAAGTGCCCGTCTAAAGTGACTTCAGGCTGATCTTTATACTTCTAAGTTCAGTGCCCCCATGAGATCTAATCTGTACACTTCCTCAGAATTTGGATTAAGACATTCTCAGTCAGGTATTTAAATGTGAGTTAGAAGTGTGGGCCCAGGAGCCATGATAAGAGAAACCAATACAAACCATTTGACTGAAAAAGCAACATTATAACAAATTTATTTTCAACGCCAAAAGCTTGCTTCACCATTTGTGAAGTTGTTTTGACTACTGGATGTCTTTTGCAGAAAGAGACTAAATATTTTCAGGAAGCCTTGAACCAGTACATGCATAGTATGTAAGCAACCTTCACTCTCAAAGTGTGACAACATTATAAAGTTGAGAGTCTCATCTTCAGTTGTTATCACCTAGAGAAAATATTACAATGACAATTTTACTTTCTACATGGAATTTATCAGGTTCTGCCACATGGCACCCGAATGGTCAATACACATAACTGCTCATAACACACTGTTTATAAAACTTTATCACTACAGTTCTGATGCAACCAAGGCTCCAAATTCAAAACTGATATTACGTGGTGCTTGTGTTTCTGTCTGCCCTTCATATGCTGGGCACATGTCAGCAAATCACACAGCATCTGAGGTTTCTTACCAGTGACAATTCATGCTGTAGTCTTCTGCATTATTACACTGTTTTTTTTTTCTGTGGCGCTACAGCCCCAATTTGGGGCCTACCTCCATGAAACTCTCCGTTTTACTTTGGTTTACTAGATCTTACACATATGGTAGGACTCCTTGGGCGAGTGATCAGCTCGTCGCAAGGCCTCTACCTGTAGACAAACACAGAAAAACGCACACAAACATCCATGCTGAGTGGGATTCGAACCCACGATCCCGGCTTCCGAGCGAGCGTAGACAGTGCATGCCTTAGACCGCTCGGCTACCGTGACCGGCATTACACTGTGTTATCTGCTCAAACAATATCATAACCCAGAAAACCATAACATCAAATCACATGACTCATTTTCAATCTTTTAATTTCCTTGAAGTAAGAAATAAGATTAAATAAATTCACTTTTCTGGGAAATTACATGATTAGTCTCTTATTACTTGCCTCTATAAAGAAACAAAAACTACTTGGCCCACTTCTTCACAGAGGAAGGAACATGTCCAAGTTCAGGCTGCCAGAGCTTACCGAAGAAAACACAAGTAGTGGCATTAAGATTTAAGGTTTCTCTGCCAGACAATACATTTTAACAAGGAAGAGGAAAACCTTATGTTAAAGAAATGTAATTCTCATATTATGGTCTTCAGATAACTGAGATTTTACCTTTATTGAGAGAAAATTTTAAACTATGAAACAGTAAATCATGGTTGAACTTCATATCATTTTAAGTGAACAATACTTAGACAGAATACTTACTCAGAACCAAAACTCATCTAGGCTTTAAACATCAATGTATAACATAAATTTTATACAGCAAAATCTAAACTGAAATGTATTAAAATTATAAAGCACTATAATCTACATTAACTTTTTGTGCAAACTCAACTAGAATGGGAACTGAAATAAAGTTCACGTTCACGTCTGAAATACAGTATAAAAATCAGCCTAAATGACGATTACTAGCTGCCCATTTCAGTTTGCACACAGAAGTACATAACTACCAGTGCCAGTTATGGAAATAACACGTGTCAATTTCTGTCAAACTTTCAAGCAGCACAGTTTAGTTGGAAACTGTTTACAGTAACTGGAAATCTTCAGCAGAATGTGGAAGCGTCACAAAATTATTACATGCAGCAACACACTTGAGTTTAATTGTTGCAGCATGTGTTAGGACTTTGGAACTGGTGGAGAAATGAGATGAAATGACAGCCACCACATCAGAAAGGGCTGGATTCCTGCCACAAATAGCAGGAGATACATTCTTCGCTTGTTACCACTGTTGTGCATGTATGGATCGTGGTGAGATGGTGATGTTCCAATTGGCAGGATCTGTACCTTCAGAGTACGAACCTGCACATCATACAGAAACATGTTTATGCATTCTTTGAACAAAGAAGACTAAATGAATGCACAATGAAAATATCGTGTCTATCTGAATGTTTCAACTTGAAAACAATAAAAAGATTAAAGCAAAATTTGGTATTTGAGATCTACACCAAAAACTGTCTTGCAAATTTGATCTACAACTACGCCAGCCCAACACAGTCCCAGTCTACATGAATCAAACTCTCATCAACTCTCTCCAGAACAGCTCTTTGTATAATAAGTCAGGCAGCTCATTCATTCACTTCTGTTTAATTACCTTCAAAAAGTAACACTTACAGAAGAGGTGTAACGGGCATGAAATGTGTGTTTCATTTTCTCTACAGCGGTTGCCAACATATTTTTGGTTTCTTAAATGTTTTTTTTTTTTTTTAATTATGCTCACAGAAATGCATCTAGGTTCACATAAATTCTTCACCGATAACTACAATTAGAATACAAGGTGGTTCAAATATGANGCATTGACTGTTCTGGCATCTGTCAGAAAGTCTACATGGATAACCCGCTGCCAGTCACAGAAGAACGTTGCCATCACTTTTCCTGCGAACGGGTCCTCCATGCTCTCTTGGGTTTGGGAGAACTGGTATGCCGTCATTCGCGTGATGATTGCTGGGACTCGGGAATGAAGTAGTGCACCCACGTTTCATCGGTGGTCACTATAGACTTCAAAAATGCATCACTTTTGTCTTCAAACTGCTGTAGGAGACAACTGGCTGCTTGCATGCACACCATTTTGTTCACATCCGTCAAAGCGCGTGGTACCCACCGTGCATTCACCTTGTGATATTGCAGGTGGTATTTCACGATGTCTTCTACACTACCAACACTGATGGACAGCATTGCTCCAAGTGCCTTGATAGTGATGCGCCTATTCTCATGAATAAGCGCGTCTGCACAATCAATGTTTGGCTTGGTGACGGATGTTCGCGGTCGACGATCATGTGGTTCATTCTCCACACGCTCTCTGCCCTCTCTGAAACACTTACACCACTCAAACACACAGGTCCGTGAGAGACACTCTTCCCTGTACTGTTGTTGGAGTCTGTGGTGAATTTCAGCAGACGGGACTTTTCTCCAATGAGGAATTTGATCACAATGCGTTGTTCCACACTCCGCGGTACCTTCTGTTCACTCATCACTCTAGTAACTTCCAGACAGGACTGAACAGGTTCTAACCTGAACAAGAGGGAGGGTGGAGGTTGTGGCTTCACTCTCTCAAAGTCGCACCGCTGCTGAGCAGTGCAGCTTGTTTACAAAAAAATCAGTCTCGGTCATATTTGAACCACCTAGTATGTCAACAAATTTGGAAAAAGTCCAGAATATCACATTTCATAAAAATTTGTTTAGTGGTTTTTGAGCTATTACATCTACGTAAAAAGACAGACACAGCAGAGAAACTAATACATATACATTTTGCAACTTTTTGTTACAAAAGTGCCAAATGATGGTAATTACAAAAAACATACAGGGGTTGGCCAAAGAAAATGGGAACACTACAGATGCTGTACACATTTCTGTATTAATATGGTGATGGACCATGTTTTGGTTTCAATACAGCCACAATCCTTCTTGGAATGGATTCGTACAAGTTTCGAACAGTCACTAGCAGAATTTTATACCATTCTCTCAAAGAGCATCTTCAAGTTGCTTTAGAGATGGTGGAGGTGAGAATCTGTTACTCACTCATCTCCAAGACAGTGGTTCGATGATGTTCGAACCTGGTGGGTGATTGTGCTCACCAGGGAAGATGGTGCTCTTCAAACTATGACCGAACAAACAGTTCCATCTGTTTGGGAATGGGGTTACTGTCATCTTGGAAAACTGTATTGTTGTTCAGAAATAATGGGATGCACCTGATTACCCAACATGTCCACATATTCCTTTGCAGTAATTTGGCCATGATGGGTAACAACAGGACCAACAGAATACCACAATATTGCTGCTGAAACCATCACAGAGCTTCCTTGGGTGTTCTCCAAACGTAAACTCTTCCTGACATAGGCAACAGCGTGAAGGATGGCTCATCAGACCGTAACGTGCACGCATTTCCAGTTGTCTAATGGCCAGGTTTTATGGTCATGACACCATCGTTTATGTATCTGAGCATTACTTTCAGTAATAAGAGGTTTAGCAATTGCAGCCCTACCATGGATGTTGAATCTGTGAAGTCTACATAGGGCAATTTTTATGGTAAAAGGGTCTTCAAGATGAATATGCAGTTCTGCTGTCACCTGTGCTGCAGGTTGTGTGATTTTTCAAAAAAATCCTTTCCAGTGTACGACAATTACCTTCTGTCAATGTTGATTTTCGCCCAGTGTCCCTCTTCACTGATGTTGTCTTCCCATGATTCGTGTATGCTGACATGACTTTAGAAACTGTCGCTTTCGATACACCGAATAATGTGGCACTTTTTCTCACAGATGGTTGAGCTAAATGCACACCAATGATATGTCCTCTTTCAAACTCTAACAAGTCTCCCATTATCTAATTCTTTCACATGGACTGTCATTCAACACAATCACTAATGCACACTATGTGCATTACATAGTGTAAACAAATGAAAGAACATTCAGTGTTGCCAGCTGAAGTTCTTTCAATGTAACCAACACAAATCCAATTTCTCAGTCTGGTTTGAAGCATCCATCATTACATCTTGATTCTAACACTTTAACCCTTAATGACTTAGCACTGCCCTAATGTAATTGGTACATGTATCTAGTCCAGCTGGCCGAACATTCCACTTCTGCAATAACAATACTGTCACCATAGTTATAATTCGTCCACCAGGCCCATAGCACTGGGGCACTTAAAATCTTCTGTAGCAGGATCATGAAGGTTAATCGATGGCTTTCGTGCATAAAGACTGATAGTAAACAGAGATAACATTCAGTCAATAAAACATACTCACCAAGAAGAAAATAAGGGACATACTACAGTAAATCAGTCCTATAAAGTACCCGGTTTTGTGAAAAAGTATGCTCAGGAGCACTGCAAAAATTATCCTGAAACACAAAAACCATGCAACATATGTTATGAAGATGACAGTAATACAAGATAAATACAGCAGTCAACTTCTGGACAATAGACATCATCCTATTTTTATTTACTACACCAAAATAATGACCAAAAAGTCAAGCACTGTATTAATACATTATCATCAAAAACTATTAGGTGTTACAAGTAAATACAAGACAAACATCAACCATAAACAGACTGAAAGCTATAAGTACTTTCATATCATGGACAAGTATATCTGGAACAAGCTTATCCTATAAAGATGCATCTACAGTTTTATATAAAGATTACATTAACTACTGGCAAACAAGATGCTCTGGAAAGTACTTCTGATGACCATTTCCCTTCAAATGTTTCCACCTATATGCTGAGTCTACCAAAAACTGTAAATTAATAACTACTAGCGGAATGTCCAATGAAAATCTAATGAGAAAATTTGACAATTCCCATCTCTAGCAACAGTTTCCATAGGGAATCATCCATTGATCTACTCTAATATATTACAGCCCAAAATGAAGATTTCACTGAATATGAACACGATGAACATGAAACGTTCTCGAAAAAAGCAAAAAGAATAAGCATAAGAAATAATAATAATTATCTACGAGTACAGTAATGGCCTTTTTGGCCCATGTGAGGTGAGTCTCTTGTCACCACGTCATGGCGCGTCCTCAGGTTGCGGATGGAGGAGACGCCCTCCAGTTTTGGAGGGAAGTTGCGAATATATTGAGAAAGCAGTCGTGGACAGCCGACAAGAAGTGGTCCTCCAGCTTGGGGGTTGGGCGTGAGGTTAACAACTCCCCACCGTAAAAAATAAACTCATTACGAAAATTCTCAAGAAGCCTCAGACCTGGACGGATTCTTTGGATAAATGACCTGTGCTAAAGAAAATAGATATGAGATTTGGCACTTGGAATGTTCGCAGTATTTATAGGGCAGGTTCGCTCAGGGCAGTGGCAGAAGAAATCTTAAAATATAAGTTTGATTTAGTGGGGGTACAGGTCACATGGGATGGAGGTGGCATCACATCAGCAGGCGAATATACATTTTTCTATGGGAAGGAGAATGAAAATCATGAATTAGGTACAGGTTTTTCATACATAAGAGAACCATACAGCAGTTATGAGGGTAGAGTTCATTAATGATAGGATATCATATATAATACTTAAAGGTTGCTGGTGTGATATCATTGTTACGAATGTCCACGCCCCAACAGAAGATAAAATTGATGACATAAAGGACAGGTTCTATGAAGAACTAGAACATGTATTTGATAAATTCCTGAAGTACCCTATGAAAATTTTGCTAGATTTCAATGCCAAAGTAGGGAGGGAAAACATTTTCAAACCAACGATTGGGAACAACAGTTTGCATGAAATTAGTAATGACAACGGAGTTACAGTAGTAAACTCTGCCACATCAAAGAATCTTACTGTCAAAAGTACAATGTTCCCGCATTGTAACATCCATAAATTTGCTTGGACATCTCCTGATGGGAAGATACACAATCAGATCAACCATATTTTGATAGACAGGAGATGGCATTCAAGTATACTTGATGACCAATCATTCAGGGCAGCGGATTGTGATACTGACCACTACCTGGTGGTGGCAAAGGTTAGGGAAAGACCGGCAGTGAACAAACAAACAATGCACAGAGTTCATATGGGGAGGTTCAATCTCAAGAAATTAAATGAGGCAGAGGGTAAAGAGTAGTATTGTGTTGAAATCTCAAATAGGTTCGCGGCCTTGGAAAACTTGGACACTGAGGTGGATGTTAATAAAGCTTGGGAAACTATTAGAGAGAACAGAAAAATGTCTGCCAAGGAGAGTCTAGGTTATTATGAACTGAACAAGCATAAGCCATGGTTCGATGAAGGATGCTCAAAGTTACTAGACCACAGAAAACAAGCCAAATTGCAATGGTTACAGGATCCAAGTGAAATAAATAGGGGGATGAGAATGGTGATCTGCTTACAGATTCTCGCAACATTTTGAATAGGTGGAGGAACTACTTCCCTCAGTTATTGAATGCACATAGGGTCAGTGATGTTAGGCAAACAGAAATGCAAAATATAATTCGAATGATCAAGTTAACGAGAATGAGATGGGCAGGGCATGTAGCACGAATGGGGGTGGCGATCAATGCATATAGGATAATGGTGGGAAAGCCAGAAGTAAAGAGACCACTGGGAAGACCAAGGCGTAGGTGGGTGGACAATATTAAAATGGATCTAAGAGAGAGGTTGGGATGGATTGGATTGAGCTGGGTCAGGATATGGACCGGTGGAGGGCTCTCATGAACACGGTGAGGAACCTTCGGGTTCCATAAAATGCTGGGAAATTCTTGAGTGGCTGCAGATTTGGCTTCTCCTCAAGAAGGGCTCAGCTCCGTAAGTAAGTAAGTAATGGCCTTTCTGGCAAAAATATACACTGTAATTACTGACTGAAACAATGTAGTTTCTTGCTGCCATCTTCTGATCCTATCACAACTAACTGAGAATATGTAAGATTTGAGGCTTTCACGGCGGTGACTATGAAGAAAGCAGTCTTCTGGGATTAGGCACCGTGTATATGTGGTGTTAACCGACGTTTCGGAGGAACGTATCGCCTCCATCTTCAGGGTAGAAGAAATAAAAACAGTCTGCTTTTACCAGTTCTCACGGTCTCTTCACTTGCAGATTTCTTACACTTTTTCTTCTACCCTGAAGATGGAGGCGATACGTTCCTCCGAAACGTCGGTTAACACCACATATACACGGTGCCAAATCCCAGAAGACTGCTTTCTTCATAACTGAGAATAGTTTGCATTTGGTTTCCATGGAAACAACACAATGATAAACACTGTCCTGCTACTTATGTATACAGTATGTCCCATAATCATTTATAAAAATTGCAAAATTTACTGAGGTTGAACAACTGGACAGTTGAGAATCATGGATGGAAGGGGGAGTTTTAGTGTGGGCTGGCAGCAGTGCACAGATAAACATAATGAGAATGAACCATCAGAAGGTAAAGCACGTGATTCTGCATACAAAATATATGTGTCACGTGCTCAGACAAAAAAGATTAAACAGAAACATTTTCAGTGTTTTCTGCATTCTGTGATGACATGTGCTGTGTGGCACCAGCATCTCGTGTGAGAACCATCAGAAGAATTCAGTGGACTTTGTTCTGATGCCTCTCCATGGCACTTATGATGCCAAAACTTGTCACCAGCCTGTCTTACACTTACAACACAGCATTACATTACAGAAGATTCTTGATACCCACTGCTGTGAGAACCTTAAAATTTTATCCAGATTCAAAACTTATTAGGCAGAAAGACATATACACATGATGGTACAATAAGCTTACCTTTGATCTTAAAATAAGGAAGAGGGCAGAAACATGGGACCAACATTATAATAACATTTAACATTATAATTTCAACTGCAGAGATGTGTCAAGTGAAACTGGAAGATGAGCATGACTGGACAGTGGAGAGAGCATGAGGAAGTGATGGCCAATTTGAAGGCATTATCTCTTCACTTGCTTGGGGAGACTAATGGAAACCATGAGACCTAGGCAGGAAAGTCAGTAACACAGCTGAGGCCTCAACCAGATGCCTCATGAATGTAAGTATACAGTTTTACAATTATAACAAATTAATTGCTCTGAAAAACAGGGAGACAAAGCAAACAATATATGATGGATAACATCTTCAGCAATATTAAGGTGAAAACAAAAAGAAACACAGGAGATTCCTTCAGAGCGTGCGTCAAATCGTTTGGCAAATCCAGGAGGACAGAAATTATTTCAAATCTGTTCACAGATTTATGCTTAATATACTATGAATTTTCTCTCTCTCTAGCTCTACAGCCCTTCTGACCTTGGCCACTTTCTCAGTTTCTTTGATCTTTTACACAGTCTGTAGGACTCCCTGGATGGGGATCAGCCCTTCACAAGGCCGCTACCCACACACAGAATAATTGCACAGACATCCATGCCTTGAGTGGGATTTGAACCCACAATCCCACCGTCCGAGCAAGCAAAGACAGTTCATGCCTTAGACTGTGCGGCCACTGTGATTGGCCACTATGAATATTACAAACTGCATAATATAATAAGTCGATGCATGAAAGCATAATCATTCACATGCTATGTGAAATAATACAGGAAGGCAATGAACTGTAACAGTAGGACCAGTCCAGTCTCCTGCAGTGCCGGTTTAGGACTTGCATGGTCTGACGATCTGACACTGGTATAGCTCTACCAACACACAGGTCATTCATTGTCTTCAAAGATAGACAACAGATTCCATCAATCGATTCTGACTAATCACAAAAAGCAAAACATCAGAAAGATTTCCCACACCCAAAATCAAATTAATGTACAAGTGAAAGTTATAATTTAACCTGAAGGGACCAAGGTGGCTATATACAAAAATGATGGATTGATACAAGTGTGTGAACTTCCAAGCTATATACTACAATTCAAACTAAATAGTACGCATGTAACTTCAAACAACGGAAAATTCTTATAACATGGACAAATGCTATCACCTTTCCACTCATATCTTTGGTAAATTAACTGAGATCAGACTTAATTTCCTTATTATTTTATCTAAATTTTTATATATCTCCACATTATAACACTAATCCAATAGCGTAGTTGGTATAGCGACTGGCTACAGGCTGGAGGACCAAGGGGTCAGAGTTTGAGTTATGGTGGGGGCAAAAATTTTCTCTTCTCCACGTCGTCCAGACCAGCTCTGTGGTCTACCCAACCTCCTATTCAATGGGTACTGGGGGTTCCTTCACTGGGGGTAATGCGGCCAGGGAGTGAAGCTGACCACTCACCTCCAGCAAGTACCAAGGTCAAGAGAATGTGGATCTATACATCCACTCCCCCCTACTCCTTCATGGCATAGTGCTTAGTTGGCTAAGCACAGGGACAACTTTACCTTACCACATTGTAACAAATTTGTACTTATAGCCAAGATATATTTAGCAGATTTGTGTACATCACCTCATGCTGACCATTTATGGTCAGAACATGCAGTAAGCAATGATAACTAAAAAAAGGTTTTTAATGTAAGCAGTTTATCATATGAGCTGTTAGTGAAATTTACAAAGTGTCTGTCCTATTTACTTTGCATCTCAAAGTGAAATCACTCAACCAGCAACTGTTATGACTGCTCAAGCAGTGAATGTAAGAAATGTATCTCTGCTGTTTAGTGGTCAACTGGACAATGGTCACTGTGATGTTCTATTGTCAGCTGAAGGAAAAAACTGGTTAGCCATTTTTGATGAAGTCTGTTTCCTATAAGCAAGGTTTGCCAAAAACGTTTCATCTAGACATCAGAAGCACATTGTTATATATCAAACTTAGTATCCAAGTACAAACCAAACTACCTTCTTGGAACTTCTCAAATTGCAGAGGCTACGTATTTTTGATGAAGACCGTTTTAAGAATTCCCAACTGAAATTACAATCGACTTTATACTAGTTATATCAATAACTGAATACGCAACAGGATGCAGTACTGTAATTAATTAGCGGATTTGTGTTTTTGTGGAGGGATAATGGATATGAACAATATACTGAGCAAACCATTGAAGGAATGAGTTTAAACAGAGAGAGATACTGGAAACAGAATTATATAAACTCCAAACCAGACTATCATACTGTTTTAAAATCACAAATATAAGAATCTCAACTACTGTTAAAATTGTAATGCTTACCCAACATATTTATATCCTCCATAAGCTATCAAATCCAATGTTTTCAGGTTGGTCTGTATATTGGTAATGTACATCGTGATCAGTTCAACTATTATCTCGAACACTGTCCATGCAAGCGCTGTACTTGCTTGAATGCTTAACACCTCTGGAGTAAATCTGATGACAGACAAAACATAACATTCTCAATACAAAACAAAACACTTCAATATGGTAATATCCACATGTAAAACATGCAAGTCTGGGTGTTGATGCACACACATACATGAATAAGTTTTTGTGAATTTTTTCTGTAGGTTTTAATAGATTTATTTTGATTGAGCATTCAGATGTGTACTACGATGTAAGCAGACTTCAAGCAGGTAAGACAGTTTCCATTTTAATGAAAGATGCAAAATATCTAAAATTGGGGCACTGAACAGGCATAAAAACAGAAACACAACACCAAATTCAGTGAAACTGAGGATACAATGGCAGGGCCAAGTCAGAACTGGATAACAGGGCTCCGGTCACCCTGGGGAAATAAAGCACAGAAGCAGAGGATGACAGAAAAGCTCTCATGAGAGGACAGAAAATGATGGAGAATGCTTTAGCTAAAATGATCTAGCCTGGTGGACAAGTATACGGAGGATGATGATTATGATTAGAATTATCGTAAACAGATGATTTGGAAGATGAAGAAAAGACGGAGATATCTAGTAAGGGAAACATGAACACAAATACAAAACAGGAGAACAGAAGAGAAGGAAATGGGCCTTGCTGTAAGATTACCCAACCATGAAGACAGGCAACTGGATGATGAAACATGGGACTGACAATTTTATCGTAAATCTTTGGCACCCAGCGTAACACAATTTCTGAAAATGAAGTTTATCAGACACGATTTTGTGAAGAAGTGATCATGAAATCTGCAGAAAAGGCAGGGAAAGTCAAGAAATGGTGAACTGTCTGTTCTGTTGAATCTTCTCTTCCATTGCATGCACCAAATCTTCATTAACCACAAATGGCTGGTTGCTCTGCGGTTTATTATGCACATTTTCACGTCCTTCATTAAAGTGTCTCACTCAACTCCATACCATTGAATCACTCATGGCATGTTCTCCACACACCCCACAAAGTTGATGATGAATGTCAGCCAGTTTCATGTTTCTTGCATTCAAGAAACAGATTACAGACTGCATTTCACATGTAGCAGGCTTCTCAATCTTCTTGAACATTGTAAACACACAGGACAATGTGTACATCCAGTTCAATCATCTGCAAATGGTGTCTGTGCCTTCCCAAAGGAGCAAAAGGTCTGCACACATGAGCACCATCATGGTCGCAGCACTGCAGCGGCAATATTTGCAAACAGAAATTATTTTGTGGATATGCCCAGTACCTACAATTGGGCCATTAGTACCTCAGCCTAGTATTTTTAAGGTCGAAACTGCTACTATAAATTGCCAGGTAGTGATCAAGTTACAGCAAAACTGATTCAAGCAGGAGGTGAAACAATACAGTCTGAGATCCATAAAGACATCAAATTTACTTGGAGTAAGGAAGAATTGCCCGGTCAGTGGATGGAGTCCATTATTGTACTAATTTACAAGAAGGGTGACAAAACTGACTGTTGTAATTATCGAGGGAAATCACTGTTACCAACTTCATACAAAACTTCAGCCAATATCCTTCCCTCAAAGTTAAGTCCATATACAGATGAAATTATTAGGGACCACTGGTGTGGGTTTTGATGTAACAGATCAATTACTGATCAGATCTTTTGCCAGCCACTTGGCTATGATTTAGTGATATACAGCAGAATAGTAAAATGTTCAACAACGCCAACAAAATCCACACCCGAGTGTTGATTGTAAGAAATATTTTCAGATGCAACAATGAGTATAGGTGTAACAATGAACACTGACTGATCTCTCTTCATTGCAGTGTATTAGTTAATACCAGAACTACTTGGTACTTTCAACCCTGAAGCCCCCATCAGATGCTCTATACACTGTAACACGCAAACACATTTTGGAAGTCCTGTTACTAGGCTTGTTTTCACTGTCTCACGACTAAGTGTTGTGGCTGTATTTTACTCGTGCTTCAGCCCATATCAATCTTAGATGCCATTAAATGTGAGATGCACTCTGATTTCTGAAATTTTAAAAAGGTGAAAAGAGTGCATCTCAGAATGAAGGAAATGCAATATATCAAATGATTTAAAAAAGGTAAGGAATTAGGAAAAATTAACAATGGATGTGGCTGAGCTTAAATCTCAGACATTATGCATGGAAGGCCAGTGTCCAGGGCCCAAACCAACAAATCCATTCCTCCAACCACTCACTATTTCCTGTTGCTCCCATTTTGAGCATAGGGCATCCATGAAACTTTTCACCTCACTTCAGTTTCTTAATCTTAGAGAGTTGGTAGGATTCTCTGGATGGGGGATCAGCCTGATGCAAGGCTGCTACCTACACAGGATAACACAGACACAGAATAATCACAGAGAGACATCCATGCCTTGAGTGGGATTTGAACCCACAATCCAAGTGTTCAAGCAGGCGAAGACATTTCATGCCTTAGACCACGCAGCATCTGTAATCAGCAGCCACTCACTAGGATTAAGAAAATGCAAGGATTACTTTCAATCTAGCTACATTCCTCCATGGTGGGACACCCAGACACTAGGCTGCCCATTACTCTGTCCACTTACACTTCACTGATACATACCTGTCCTGCATGCCAAGAACTAACCCAGCAACAAGGACATATGTCACATATGCCATTGTAGGTATGTACAAGTCTGGTGCATTTATTTCGTAGCGAGGCTGAACAGGTCCATCTTGTTCATATCTAAGAGACCAATCCTGAAAATATATATAAAAAACTCTCATGTAGTTCCCCGCATCACAGGCTCATGTTCCAGTTGCATCAGTATACAAAAGCAAAGTTATTTAGCTGTTGCTTGCGAACAAATGGCAAAATTATCATTAAGCAAAAGATATTTCATCACATAATTCACATACAGCTGTTTCCAAAATATCAAAAATATCTACTTGAACTGCAGCACTGGAGCGAATCATTCTCTCAGAAACCACTGGATACCATATACACTGTCAACTCTTATGAAATGATAACTTCCTTTTTTCCACTTAAACTTTTCATGTATTTACTAAATCATCCAACATCACACCCACTGTGTGCTCTCAGTGCAGGACACTGTCTTGTACTGCAGTCACATGGCAGATGTGAAATACATCAACAGAAAATGATCCTCACCAGTAAAGCCATCTAACTATCTGACCTGCCCATTCACACTCTCATTTCAGATTTCATGCAGTCAGCATTCCTTTCAGGCTGCGATACTGACATTTTTTGTTGTCTCACCTTTCACACACGTACACAAAATGCATGAAACAGACAAGGATTTCTTACTCTCTTAATGTTTTGGAGCAAAATGAGTGCTGTAAATCATATAACAGTATGAATTGTGTCTTGAAACACAGAACAGAGTACAAATACACTATTAAGAAAAGTATAGTTCTCCCTGGAAAAAAAAAAAGGTAAAGCTATCCCTGTATCAGGGATGATTCTATGAATGAATATTATCAACATGCAAATGAATGAATGAAAAAGATATTTGTAATTAACATATTTTATGTTTGTATTCGTTAAATGAACTTTTAGTATATTTTAATACTGAAATCTTGTGAAATGTATATGTTATGGTTGTATTGTGTAAGATCTTACGGGTTGTAATTTAATTGATTTTAACTTGAACAATTTCCACTTTTTGTGTTTTGATTATCACTATGTATAATTTCGTTTTATGACTGCTCTGTATGTGACTTTCTATTTTATGAACTGTTCTTGTGTATGTTTTGATTTCATTGCGACTTGTTCAACATCCTAGGCTTTGCCAAAAAGGATTTATTGAATAAATGAAATGAAAAGAAAAGGCCCAGGAGGTCCATAGGTTTGTGAGACTTCGAGGCACCCACATTTTCTACACAACTGACTCAAAGATGATGGTAAGTTTGTCTGCCTTATGCAACAATTGCCCTTTATCCACAGGAAGATTGCTGGTACTCCTCATTTCTTTTAGAGGCCGAGTCGATCCCAGGGCCACGGTGTGGCTGGAAGGATTAGGTCAACTGAAAAATCCAGTGACCTCATCAGGAATCAAACCCACAAACTTCTGGCTTGTAGCACAGTGTCTCACCCAACCATGCTACCACATGCCTCCAAGTTGTCATGTGCTTAAATAATTAAGCACTATACTATGAAGAGGTATGAGGGAGTAATTGTTTAGATCCACATTGTCTTGACCTTGGCATTAGTTAGAGGTGAGTGGTCAGCTTCATGCACCGGCCACATTACCCCTTGGGTAAGAGCTCCCTGATACCCACTGGATAGGAGGCTGGGTAGACCCAAGAACCAGTCCAGATGACATGGAGATGAGAAAAATCTTACCCCTTCCAGCCCTCAAACTCTGACCCCTCGACCAACCAGCCAGCAGCAAGTCACTATACAAATTGTGTTAGCCTTGTTCCAGGGGGAGGATAATGTTAAAATTATTCTTTCAGAAATATGGCAATTCAACTGGTTCAGTACTTGGCCTAATGGCAGGCTTTTGCAAACTTGGTAATAAGTAATCTCCAAAACTGATAATTTGAAAACTGATGAAAAGTTGATAATTATCAACTTTTCATGACAGGTTGTGAACCACAGATGTAGTTTGTTGGGTATGCATGCACACAGGCAGTATCAGTTTCGGAGATTACTTAGGACTGATCTTATTGCATACAGTGTACACATATAGATTAGGGCAGGGGAGGATGAGGTTGTGGCCTGTCTAAAGTACCATTCCAGTATCTGGCTGATAGGTTATGGAAAGTCTGACCACACTTCAGGCCAGGTATCACATGAACGTCAGCCAACTGCTCTACAGATATACAAATGTGCTGCAACCTTTGAGCAATAACAGTCATACTGTTTACTGCTGAAACTTCACCCAAGATTTCTATCACTGTATTTATGCTTCTTTGTAGAAGCTGGTGTTTGCGTGTATTAAACAGTGAATGGGTAATACTTTTAAAGTTTACTTAGAAATATAAAACATCAGAACACCAAAAACAACATATTAATTTTACAAATGAAAAGAAAAAGATTAATATAATAAAATGTTAACATAGTACTTCTAGACAATTGGGGTTACTGGGTTTTTGGACTTCATTCATCATCTGGTATTCTAAAGAACATGATGTTTCAGGAAAAAGATTAAGGGACTGAGGTTTCTCTTTATAATGGGCCCAATAGAGTAGGTGTCTCCCAGCCCTTCACATGAGGGTGGAAACAGACTGGTTTCTGAAATGTTATGTTCTTTAGAATAACAGAAGATGGATAAAGTTCAATAATCACAAGTGTTGGTCACCACTGTCAGAACCCTTCAAAACCAGCTCTGGACAAGTGACATAATATCTTTTCTTTTTGTGTTTTGTAACAAAAGTGTCAATATAATCTAACATCATGCACTGCCAATAAAAGAAACCTGCTTATCACTATTTGAAACTGTTATAAAGATAATATATAAATATAATGACATTTAAACTACATACGTGATGTGTTCAAAAAGTATCAAACCTTCTGTTTTCCCGCGTAAACCAATGAAGCGTGGGAGGCTCCTTTCGGTGGAGACATGAGAGGACATTCATGCGCAGTCGTGAATTTTTTCCTGCCCGCAGAAAGTGTCAGTCGCTGGCAGTCGGCCTATGACTGAGGACGTGTAGTGAGAGCTCGTCAGATTCCAGTAAGGTGCAAAATGACGGAACAACATGAACAGCGATATTGCATCAAATTTTGCCAAAAGCTTGGCAATACCCAAGTGGAAACCATTCGCAGGATTCAACAGGCTTTCAGGGACGATACCATGAGCAACTCACGGATAAAGGAGTGGTACAACCGCTTCAAAGATGGCCGCACATCAGTGGACAGCGAACCACATTCAGGCAGACCCTCAACAAACCGAAATGAGAATGTCATTGAGCAAGTGCGGACTTTAGTCATGGAGGACCGTCGTATCACAGTCAGAGAACTTGAGAACGAGATAGGGGTAAGCATTGGATCGGTACATTCAATTTTGACTGAGGATTTGGGAATGAGGAGAGTGTCCGCGAAATTTGTACCGAAACTGCTAAAAATGGAGCAGAAGCAACGCCATCTGGAAATCGCACAGGACATGCTGGACAACGCAAACAGTAATCCGAACTTTCTGAACACCTTGATCACAGGCGATGAGTCGTGGGTTTATGGGTATGACCTGGAAACCAAGATGCAGTCGTCACGGTGGAAACATCTGACATCCCCGTGGTCAAAAAATGCATGGCAGGTCCGCAGCAATGTCAAGGTCATGTTGACCATTTTCTTTGACTCCCGTGGGGTTGTGCATCATGAGTACACACCATAAGGCCAAACCATCACAAAAAAATACTACCAAAGGTCCTTCGTCGCCTTCATGATGCTGTGCGGCGCAAATGACCGGATCTGTGGGCAGCAAAAACTTGGCAGCTCCATCATGATAACGCACCCGCCCATTCTGCGCATCTGATTCAGACTTTCGTCGCCAAACACAACATCCCTGTGGTTCGTCAGGCTCCCTACTCCCCCGACATGGCTCCGTGTGACTTTTGGCTATTTCCCAAGCTGAAAATGCCACTGAAAGGAACCCGATTTGAGTCAAGAGAAGACATCATGCGGAATGTGATGGCCTGGCTGATCACCATTCCAAAAGACGCGTTCCAGAAGTGTTTCCAACAATGGCGGAAGCGCTGGGAGAAGTGTGTGTATTACCAAGGAGACTACTTTCAAAGGGATTAGGGTTTTGTACCTCCTAATCAATAAATGGATTTCTGCCAACCAAAGGTTCAATACTTTTTGAACACACCACGTATATATAGGGATATCCGAACATGACATTAAAGTGCTGTATATTTGTTTAAGCTGTCCATTTGTAGGTATAAGAGCATGCAAGTGACAAAAAGAGCTTATCCTTATGAGACTCATTACAATCTGTACTCACTGAATGAGTGAAAGGGAAAAACAGAAGTCCCAGTTTCTTAGTGACATATCTTGTGTCAACAGCAAAGTAATATTTGATCCTTGAAAAAGGGACGTATTTCTCAAGTTCTTGACCAACCAGCTGCTTGCCTGAACCAACCAGTGCCTGGCCATATTGCATGGCAACATTTGCCACAAGAGGCTCATTCAGGAACTGACTTGGAATGGAAAAGCCCTGGTCTGCTGGTGGAAAACTTGGATGTATGCGTGAATAATCTGTTCATGAAACAAAATAACACCAAATATTAAATGGTACAATGACACCCTTGCATTGATTATTTCAGTCTACACATGTATCAACCTGAGGAGAAAGTTTTCATTTATATCACCTGACTCATCAAACACCATTAAAAAAATGTCTACCACTGTTATGGCTATGTATAGCCAGATAGAGACCTTAAGTTAGGCATCAAATTATTAGAATGTGAGCTGAAGAATTCACTCCTACATGTATTGTTCTTGGGAATGCTATACCACCTCTTAAGGCAATGAAAATGGTGCCCTTGAAATGAAGTGCATGAAACTGAGCAGAGAGCTTCTACCTTCTACCCATGTCCACCCCTGGTTACATCCCAATATGGGAAATTATTACAGGAAAAATGTAAATTCAAATTACTTTACAGGTGTAACTACTGAACTTAAAGCCTGTATGATCTGAAGTCTTGTCCTAATGTCAAAAATCTATCACTCACTCACAGAGCTGAGGCCTTCATGAGAAGCTGTCAATTGTGCAGATGCTCTAGAACTTCCCAGCATTTAATGGAACCCGAAGATTCATTACCATGTTCACAAGAGCCCTCCATCAGTCCCTATCCTGAGCCAGATTGATCCACTCATTTTTATTCAATCCTACCTAAGATCCATTTTAATATTGTCCACCCACCTATCTCTCGGTCTTCCTAGTGATGTCTTTCCTTCTAGCTTTCCCACCAATATCCTATGTGCATTCCTCTTTGACCCCATTCGTGCTACATGCTCTGCCCATTTCATCCTCCTTAACTTGACCATTCTAATTACACTTGGCAAAGAATACAAGTTATGAAGCTCCTCATTATGCAGTTTTCTTCAACCTCCTCACACTTCATCTCTCTTCAATAAAGATATTCTCCTCAGCACCCTGTTCTCAAACACCCTCAGTTTATGTTCTTCCCTTAATGTCAGAGACCAGGTTTCACAACCATACAGAACCACAGGCAAAATTACAGTCATGTATATTCTAATTGTTATGTTTTTAGACAGCAGGTGAGAAGACAAAAGGTTCTGGACTGAATGGTAGCAAGCATACTCAAATTAAATATCCTCTTTATTTCCTATTGAATCATGTGTTGATCTGTTACAGTCATTCCCAAATATCTGAACTGTGCCGCATTTTCAAAACATCTGTTAGCTATCATTATGTCATGGTTTTGCACTGCATTCTGGTACCCCAAACTCTATGAAAATATTGTACAATACTTCCCTCGTAACTGAATCATAGGCTTTCATGAATTCTATGAATAGCTGATGTACTGTCTCATTGTACTCCCATCTTTTCTCCAGTATCTGACGAATGCAAAAGTTCTGTCAGTAGCTTATCTGTTACGTTGAACTCCACACTGATGATCCAAAATAATTTCATCTATATATGAACTTAACCTTGAGAGTAGAATATTCGATAAAATTTAGTATGAAGTTGATAGCAGTGATATCCCTCTATAATTACTACAGTCAGTTTTATCACCCTTCTTGTGAGCTGGTACAATAATAGATTCCTTCCACTGATCAGGCAATTTTTCCTTATGCCAAATAGAAGTAATTAGCTTATGGATCTTAGAACGTAATATTTCGCCTTCTGCCTGAACAAGTTCTGCCAGAACTTAATCACTACCTGGCGATTTATACCTTTTCAATTTTGCACTAGCAATTTCAAACTCAAAAGGGCTGAGATCAGGTATTAACAGCTCAGCTGTGTGCATTTCTATCTGCCTAACATCACTGACCCTATGTACATTCAATAACTGAGAGAAGTAGTTCTTCCACCTTTCAAAATGTGGGAATCTGCAAGCAGGTCGCCATTCTCATCTTTCACTAAGTTACTTCTAAGTTGGTAACCCCTCTTAACATCATTTATCATCTATACAGGTCTCTAATGTTCTTGTTCTTACTGTTCGTTGCAAGCTCATGAATTTTGTCTTTCTGATATTCCCTCCTTTTATTCCTGAAATGCCCGTTGTTTTCACATCTTATATCGTTCAGATTACCCCCATTTATTTCATTTGGATCCTGTAACCCCTGCAATTTGGCTTCTTTCTTTTGGTCTAATAATTTGAGCATCCTTCATCTAACCACGGCTTATAATTCTTGAATTCATAATAACCTAGATTCTCTTTGGCAGAAATCTGGATATTCTCTCTAATAGTGTCTAAGTTTTTGAAATCTGCGAACCTATTTGAGATTTCAACACAATATTTCTCTTTATCCCCTACCTTGTTTAACTTCTTGCGAATGAACCTCTCCATACGAACTCTGTACGTTGCTTGTTTACTCACTGCCAGTCTCAGCCTAACTTTTGCCTCCACCAGATAGTGGTCACTATCACACTCTGCTGCCCTGGACAATTGGACATCAAGTATACTTGAATGCTGTCTCCTATCTATCAAAATATGGTCAACTTGGTTGTGCGCCTTTCCATCAGGAGATGTCCAAGTAATTTATGAATGTTATGATGTGGGAACATTCTACTTTTGATAATAAGATTTTTTGATGTGGCAAAGTTTACTACTCTAACTCCATTATCATTACTAACTTCATGCAAACTCTCATTCCCAACTGTTGGTTTGAAAATGTCTTCCCTACCTATTTTGACACTGATATCTCCTAAAATTTTCGTATGGTATTCCGGGAATTTACTGAATACATGTTCTAGTTCTTCATAGAACCTGTCCTTCGTATCATCAATTTTATCCTCTGTTAGGGCATGGACATTCAGAATAACAATCTATAGAATTTAAATTATAAAAAGGAATGGATGGGAAATAATTTTCAATTTGGGTATGGGAGAAGGAAAGAGGTCACTCTTCAGAGCCCCATTACAAAGCTGAAAGTGACTCTCCCCTGATTCAACTAGAGACAAAAATATGTACTTGTAGGACAGACACTTACTGACACCTGTGAAACTCATGCATGAGAATCTTCCCATGGGAGACCTGAACATTTTGATAAATTTTAACTCACTGGAATCAAACATACCAAAATGACAATCATGCTCATGAGGTGATAGCAGTAATAACATAACCTAGTCATGAAATTCTGTCTGGCGATTGAACTTTCATAAAAATCTCCTAAGAGAATACAAAAATTGTGACTGTACAAAATGTATTAATATTATAAGAAATGAACGTGAGAAACCTGTATGGTAATATGTTACAAGCAGCACAGAAATTGATCTAACCATCTGGAACCATCAAATATGCACCACACGAACAGTGAATGCATACTACATTTCTTTATCCTACTTATCAGTATTACCAACATTGTAACATGACACTGTACAGATTGGCCCAAAAGTCCCCATTGGAATAAATCTTTTTTGTTGCGGGTAAAAAATGGCCATGAATCTAACAAAAGATGGTTGAGTGAGCCTGGTTTTCATGTATGGTGACGAAGCTGCTTCTATCAATCCATTGCTGATAACTTCAGTCAGCGACATCTGGAGAGGTAATCTACTGATTACGGTACTATGAGGAGTGTTAGTCAATGTATTCAACATCACAGGAAGTGTCCCCAATCATCCATATCTTGGTAGATCTATAATTGCAATTGATGTCATAGCAACAGCAGTATTTGGCGCAGAGACAAACAGTTCGAAGACCATTTACATTTCAAACCAGCACACAAAAAGCAAACAGGAAAAATATACATAGAATCCAGTATATGTCAAGAGAGTAAACATACCCCACAAGAATCTGCTTCTACATGCTCATCAAGAAAAACGATTATTACACAGGATCCAGTTTGATAAGATAATATAATAAAAGTAATAAAAATTGCAATATTAAGAAGAACAATAATTAACAAACAGTAGCCTACTTTTAACTAGTTCAAATTATCCTATCTATTTTAACTTAAATGCAAACCGAAGTAAATAAAAAACAAATTTTAAAGCTGACGAGAATTAAAAAATGCTTGTAATGCTAAAAACGCATACTCACTGGAACACTAAGACAAAGGTTTATACAGTTTACATTATTTAAGTCTACAACTAAAAACCTACACTGTAGACAAGACCTCCCAGCTGCACACATTGGCCAATGGAGGGGGAATAGCAGGCAAGAGTTGAGAGTGACTCTAAGTCACATGATGAACAAAAATAGTGGCCAAAACCATAGTTAACCTAGAATTAAACATATATTGTGAGACTGAAACTGAATAAAGTACTCCTAAGAAGTCAATGACGAAGCTGTCCCAAGAGGCTGGAATGAACAGAACTTAAACCCAACAAATTTTAAAACAATACCATCTTCACCAGCATAAAGTGCAACTTACACTGGAATTGCAGTGTGATGCCATGTATCACTGAGTTCAGTTATGTTATCAGTTTCAGCAAAGCAACTCAGTCCAGTGGATCATGGTCAATGATGAACTGTTTTCATGTCAGTGGCCATGTAAACATACATAATTCTCAATACTGGAGGCCAAAGAAAACCCACACTAGATGGAAGCAACACACATCCAGAATGATCAATGTGTTATGGCCTGGGCAGCGATTTGGAACACAGGATGATTAGGCCACATAACAAGTAACATATTGTGACATAATACCCAGAAGTGTGGTGTCAAGGGAGTCTGTGCACAGGCATCCATTGCTATGCAATGGTTTGTTAAAACATGTTACCATGAGAATTAATATGCATACAACAGTCAAGGAACACTGGTTCACAACAAAGGTCTACATAGAGAGCCAGCAAGAGCCATAGATCATGGAAATGCTAAGGAGAGTCCCTGCTGATGGAGGCGATGACTTAGAAGAAGCGAAACTATGTGAAGATATAGCAGACTGGAAAGACTTGAAATGCACTGGAGTCATTTGTAGATTGTGAAAAGTATTAAAGTGTTGTAATCATCTGTAGTTAAGAGTAACAGGTAGCCAATGAATTCAGTTATCGCTCCAAACTCTATGTCTCCGCCCTAAACTATGACAGTATCTTCATATACTGCGAAAATTCCTTAAACCTATATTTGATGACATCCCAATGGTGCAGACAAACAGAATATTGCCTCACTATGTGAATACTGCGTGCGTCTTCCTGTGTGTCACGTTTCCGGATCGGTCGATAGGACGTTGTGGGCCTGTAGAATGGCACCTGCAGTCACAGGACCTTACACATATAGAAATTCTCCTCTGGGGTAACCTGAAGTGTGTCATTTACACTGACTGACCAGCAAATGTTCAGGAACTGCAGAACAAGATACAATCTGGAGGTGATAAAATTAATGTGGACATGCTGCAGTTAGTAAAAGCACCTGTTACATTCTATATTAATAAGTGCCTCAAAGTCAGTGCCTTGCAATTTGGAGACTGGCTTAAATTAAGATTCTGTCATTTCTTAACCCTACATGGTGCAGCTCTGAGCCACTCTATGTATTCTGCTATCTGGAAAGTAAATGGCAATAAGCAGACATTAATTTGGGACAAAAAAATTTAAAACATGTGCCATGGCAATAAAGGTAAATGAGGTAAAGCTACCCCTGTAACAGGCTGTGGAGGCCCACAGGGTTGTGAGAGGCTGAGGCTCCCACATTTTCTAGACAATCGGCTCACAGATGGTGGTGGGACTTTCAGCCTTAAGTGCTAGCCACCCTTTAGCCCCCAGGAAGATTCAAGGTACTCATTTCTGTTACAGGCTGAGTCAACCCCAAGCCTGGAAGGATTCAATCAATTGAAATATCCAATGACCTCATCAGGAATTGAACCTGCAACCTTCTGGCTTGTAGCATAGTGCCTCAACCATCTACATTACTGCATGCCCCTATGCCATGGTAATGGTAATGTAAATTAAAGAGCACATTCTTCTGAATACCTCCAAATCTGCTTATTTTACAGAAAGCAAGATCTTCTGAAGTTTTATACAGATGTATTGGAAAGCAATAGACATAGAAGAGCTTCCTGTGAAGGTTCTGTCCTTTGGCATATGGCCCTGTGTGTTCATTGATGTTTTTGAGCAATGTGCTGTCTCCATCTTCAGAAAAGAAGAATAGAGATGGTCTTGCAAGGACCTGCCTAATTTAAATTCATCTGCATTTGTTATGATGATTAAAATCAATTAGAATAGAACTGACAAGGCAATGTAGTGAGGGAAACAAGAAATGTGTACGAGAGAGAGACATACAGAAACTCAGTCTCAGAGCAACAGGTTGTGAGGAAGTGAACTGGGTTCAGACTAAGTCATTACTCAGTCACTCCAGTCTGGCGAAAATGCTATGCAAAAGATGTCACATGCTGGATACTGGGTCACATTCCATGATGTGCATTCTGGTTTACCTGGCAAATTGAATATGTTCCTCTTAACACGCTGAATGTTGCAAGAGGTACATAGGGGACCAGCAATAACTTTCTGGCCCACTCACATTTAAAATACACAACTTGTAACTGACTTGTTCTGTGACAGATTCTCAGTCAGTCTAAAAATATAAATGTTCATATTCAACTTAGAAGTTTATCACTTTAATAAGACCATGACATCTGACCACACCTTACCCAAATCAATGAAGTCTTAGTACTCACTATTAACATTTCTGTGAGCTATGCTAATCATGTTACCTGGACTGGCAGTATATGGAGGTGGAAGTACATATCTGCCATCATACATGTTCATGTTAGGTGGCATGTTTCCTGGAACTGCTGAAGCATAAGGATTGTATGGTGGAGGGTAGGCTGGGGCACTCATGGCAGCTGTATCACTCACACGCTTTTTTCTGCTTCCTTTCTGTGCAGCTATAAAAAATACACATTAAAATGAGTAAAATTAATATCACAGCTTATCAGCTGTTTCTGGTGTGACAGAAGTTTATTTATACAAATTCTGCAGTAATGAAATACAACAAGAAGTTCTGGGAAGAATTAATCGCCTACTTTCCTTTGATACAACACAGACCACATAGAAATGATGCATCCAGGTGTGGATGGCAGTGCCTTCTCTGTGGTCTGCACCAAATTCATATAAACAGGACAGCTTCTGGCTTTCTGGAATTATGGGGGATACACAGACACACAGAGAGCAAGGTGATCTGAAGAGAATCCTTTTATTAAAATAAGGAAACCAGGCTAAAAATATGAGACAATGCATAACATTTGAACTTTCTCATGCACATAAACAAACGTTTCTTTATTCTCTAAAGCACAGCCTTAAACGTATCAGTAAAAAATCAGTTCGGTTTTCTTCTGTTAATTCATATTATTTGTGGTATTTTGCAAATTCAGGTTATGTCTGAGTTACTATCGATAATATACACTAACTAATGGAGGTTTATTTGCTACATAAAATTCAACATGGAAAGAACAAACACAAACAATCTGTAACAGATGTAATCTAAATGTTTCTAACAACTGTGTTTTACAAAAAATATGCCATTATTTTGGATATTTTCCATCATCTTGAGTTTTGTCAAACACAATGTTCTGAACATGGCTCTGCTTCCATCATTATGTGCAAGGAAGGGAAGACTAATACTCAGCTGGTTTCATCAAAAAGGGCCAGTCACTGGACAGAAAGAGATCCACTTTTCAAAACATCATGTTCCAAAAGCTCAGAAGATGGACAGTGTCCAAAATAACAGTTATGTTTATTGCTGCAGACTGTCTAATCTGATACACTGATGACACCCCTGCCACAGTAACAGTGCTGCTCTCAATGGACTTAACACTAGGCACTTCCTTTGACAGACTGCATTGTTGGTATAGAACAACATTAAAATGATGGGTTGGTCTGATAATATGAACACTTAAAAAAATTATATTTTTGGTTAGAATGGTTTGTGCTGTGTGACTATAACTGATACTCAAATCAGTAGAAGGGCTGAGAATTAGATGGGCTTCTGCTATGTCCAGTAACAAAAAGCAAATGTGAATTCAGATTTATTTTAGTTCTTAATTTGATCAGCACGCTCCTCTTTCATCTGAAAAACTGATAACATTAAGCCAAACAGACAGAGCATTCTGTGTAGTGAGTGAAAAATTATGTGGTTTATGTTTCTGGATGGTCTACAATACAAATTTCACATTTGAACTACCTCTGATGTGAAGTATTCAAGGTGAAATTATGAAATACTAACACTAATCTGAATCATGTTAAAAGAGTCATTGTTATAATAAAAAATTCAACTAATGGCTGCAAAACGGACTGCAAACTGCAGGAATTTTTTGTGACCTTGCTAAGGCTTTTGACTGTGTTAATTATGAGATATTGACATCTAAACTAGAGTATTATGGTGTCCGGGGTTGTATATTAAACTGGTTTAAATCATATCTATTGGATAGAAAACAGTGTGTGTACATCAAAACTAATGATGGTCAGGACTATTTTTCATCTTGGGAAAGAGTTAAACAAGGGGTTCCGCAGGGGTCGGTTTTGGGACCACTTCTGTTTATTATTTACATTAATGATTTGCTGCCATATATTAATAAATTGGCTAAAGTTTTTCTTTTTGCTGATGATACCAGTGTTTTGGTTACTGGTAATAATCATGATGAGCTTAAGCATAGAGTCAGGGGTACACTGTCTCTTATTATAAATTGGTTCACAGCTAATAAGTTGGCCTTAAATATCACTAAAACTAATATTATTAGATTTGCTCTAAAACAGTCCTATAACTCTCTGGCAGTTGCTAGTGGGAATTTGTTTATAAATGAAGTTTCTGTGATAAAATTTTTGGGTCTGCAGATTGATAAGANAGTATTCTACGTTATCCATACTTTACAAAAAAATACAAAAATACTATTTTCATTTACACTATAAAAGTAACTCAATAAACTTCCCACGACAATCATTTACTTAACTAAAACTACACGTTGGCATTCTTACATGGCAGACAACTACCTCAACTTGTTACACAACATTAAAAGACGGAATATTTTTGTCCACAACGTCACTATATTCTACCCTTTCTACAGTATTACTTTAATCACAACCGCAATACAGGTTAAGTCACAAATGAAACCAGATGTGGTGAGGAAAGTTAGCCATGCTCTTTAATACAATGCTTCTACGAATCCAACTACTTCTATAATGATATAAAAAACTGAGTGTGTGAAGTCAAACTTCCAATCCAAACAAAGTACAAAACCCTCCAAAAAAATCTTTCGGCATGCACAATATGGGTTTCTTAACCTAAAATATAACAACCGACAAGAATGCATACCAATTAAAATTGTTATAACATACCGACAAGATTCATTGCATAAAATATTTATAATTAATTTCACACAACATTTAGTTTCACTATGGACAAACAGAATAGATATCAATTAGCAAACTAATGATCAAGTCATCCGTTCACCACAACTTATTTCACTGTAATCACCTACACTTACGATGTCTTGCACCGGACGTCGCGTTAAAATTCATTTCTGAAAGCCCTAATAATGAAAACTTGTACTAGGTGAATAACAGGCGAAAATAATATCCGTAATTTACTAAATCACATTCACTTTACGCTTTACACATCATGCCTACACCATTCCCAACACAACTTCCGCGAAAAAACAAAACACAGTTCAACCACGTCATATTAGTTTGCGTTAGTTTGAGGGTACCGAAATTATACATGGTAACCATAATCTTGCTGCTGTACAACGAAGTTAAAAAAACAAAAAACATTAATTATTCTGCATTAAGCACTTCAACATAACTTCTGCAAAAAACATGACAGTTCGACTACGTCAAATCAGTCTGTGAGTAACGAAAATGTACGTGGTAACTAAAATTTTGTTGCTGTACAAGGAAGTTAAGAATGTAAACATTATTATTCTGTAGGAAGCACTTTAATAAAAGTAGCTTTTAACTTAAAAAAAAAAAAAAAAAGGAATGAGGGGGCACCCGGGTTTGAACCGGGGACCTCTCGATCTGCAGTCGAATGCTCTACCACTGAGCTATACCCCCAATGCAAACTTGGTTTTTTAATGTGTCCGTTATTAAGTCAGTTCTATTCTGGGACAGTGGGGTAGAGTCAACGTGCGTTTCAGGGAACACACCGCCTCCATCTTCAGGGTCGAAAAGTGAATTAAGAAGAAATCAATAGAAAACAGACTGCTAAAACAGAGATATTCATTATGTATTTCATTAAGTTCAGAAACAACCGTTAGCTTGTTCTGATATTAGTCTGCACGTTTCCCAAGTGACCTCTTTCGTTCTGGATTTCCAATCAAAATTATCTGTGCAGTTCTCATCTCTCCCATGCATCCTCTAAGCCTCGCCGAAAATATCCTTTATTTCACCGCCTTAATAATATTTATCAAAGAGCACACTTTATTAAGTTCGACATTATTCAGTTTGCTCCAACCTCAGTCACTTCCTCTCTCTTGGATTCAAGCATTCTCCTGGTACCCTGTTCCCAAATACCATCAATTCATGTTCTTCCCATGCAATGAAAGACCAAATTTCCCACTCATGAAGAACAATCAATAAACGCTGTTTAAATTACGGTGTTCTTGGAAGTGGGGCCGCATCCCCAGATAATTTGATATCAGCATTCTGCTGTTGGCATCCGTCTTACTGTACATACGTCGTCACATAGAAGAAAGCAATATTATGAGAGTCTCAACCATCGTTTCTCAGACTGTGGTAGTGGTACCTCAAAGAAGCTTGCAAGTGGTTTGTACAGCGTCACTGAATAAGCAACAGTTAAATAACAGTTCAAAGGGGCGCACTGGCTGTGAATAAATCCCGACACAATTTTTCTCCGAATATTATATCCAAGGCTGTACCCACCGTACCCACTTCACACTTTTAATTCATGAATATGATCGCAGTCAACATATCGATAGTCGAATTGCCTGTCTGTGTCCTATTGGTCGGTAAGTTGTCACGGCAACGCTACAGCGTGTACGAACAACAACAGGAGTAGTCGCCCTGTGGCATGAAGTTTAGGGTTGCAGTCCGGGTTCAGAGCCCGCGTAGAGCTGCTGCTGTGATATGTCTTCACACTAACATGTGTTCGATCCCGGCCTGCTGGCAAACCTGGCCGCAGTAGATGAAGGTCAGTATAGGTTAAGTCTCCGACACAGTAATATTAGTTCCTCACTCTACAGTCATATTTTTTTTTTCTGCTGAAGTGATATAGCTCTAGCAGGTCTAAATGGGACATATGCGTCCCGCGAATGTACATTGGTGAAGAATGAAGTGTAAGGAAAGGGGGGCGGGGGAGGTGAGAATGTTTTCTGCTGACTACAGCAGGTCAAGAAAGTAAAAGTATACGGGCCCAAACTGGGAAAAACGGAAACGAGAATGCTTCCCAGGAGCAATGAAAAGACTTAAATACCTGTTATCTGTTTTAAAAGGGGAATATAATTTTTAGAATAAATCGTATTTCATCTTTTTCCGACTGTGCATTTACCTTTTCAATGTTACTATAAAGACGTAGGCACGGGCTACTGGGCTGGACGACCGAGGTTCAATTTCGGGCAGCTTTAAGAAATTTTTCACTTCTCCACAGCGTCCAGACCGGCTCTGGTTTCTATCCAGGTGCTCTGTCACAAAGAGTAAAGTGGCCAGGAAATAAAGCCGTCCACTCACCTCCATCTAGTTGCGAGGTCAAGACTGGAAGAATGGTGGAGCTGCATTTCCACTCCCCCACACGCTTTCATGGCATGGTACTTAATTACATCAAGAAATGCAAACACTGTTTTTATCTGAAAACCTCATAGGAGTATTCTACTGGGGGGTCTTAAGAAAGAAGTGGTTCTTGAAGAGAGAGATTTTGATGTAAAATTGATTCAACTGGCCCAGGATGAGGATAATTAAATTCAGTATGCTATAAAAGCAAGGACTTCCATGGCCAGCTGAATTCTATCAAGCTTTCAAAGAGTATCTTGCACCTCTGCTTCAGTGTGGATGGCAGTTTAGTAGTAAGGTTACTGGGGCCTGGCAGCAGGATGGCTCAGTTGGGCCGACAGAGCGTCGATCTGACTGACCAGTCACCTCCATCTGGTGCTGAGGTTATGAATGAGTGGAGTTTTATTTCTATGTCCCCTTGCCTCTTCACATAGTGGTGCTTAATTAACCACACGGACAAATTTACCATTAATACATTGGGTATGTAATATGTTAAGATAAATGTTAAATAGTGTCTGGGTCTAGACATCGCGCCATGTGAAACCATGACTTACTCGCGTTTGCCCTGAGAACAAGACAAGTGAGGAGTGACCTTCACACTCCGGTCAATGTACACCCGCGATGCACATTTTATTTCATAGAAGGCCCCAGTGTAAAATTAAAATCTTCGCACCTTCTGAGACTCGAACTGTGGTCGTCTATCCGATAGTTAGTCGCGTTACTAACTGAGTTATCTCCGATTTTTGTTATCGAGATCACAGTCCTCCACTTGTTGCGCTGTTGAAGAATGAACTGAGTTAAGGGCATATGTTCAGGTTGAATCCATTCCCGACCAAATTCCTTGTTCTCACGGTCCTCACGGTGGTTAGTAGCTGTCGCACAGAGTTCATTGAGAGTACAGGTAGGTCTACTAACTTTTAACCCAGTGTTTCCTATATCGAACACATCATTCGTATTCTTCAGAAACCATAAAGTGCTTAGCCAAGAGATGATTACGCGAGATAGAAAATGAACCTTTTGCCTTCGTGTTAATAAATATTATGAGAGCAGGCCACTCCAGTCTTAAAGCAAGCTTAAGTAGAATTAACATTGTGTCCACGGTCGAATGCGAATCTGGTGACGGGCTGCGGTAGCGTAGTTGGTTGAGGCACTATGCTACAAGTCGGAAGGTCGCGGGTTCAAGTCCCGATGAGCTCATTGGATTTTTTTTTTCATTTGACCTAATCCTTCCGGCCGCACTATAGCCCTGGGGTCGACTCAACCTCTAACAGAAATGAGTACCAGGAATTAATTAAATACTTTTCCTGGGTAGTAAAGCGCGTAAGGCTGACAAACTTACCGCCATCTTTGAGCCGATTGTCTAGATCAGGCATGTCAAACTCAACTTGTACAGAGGGCCACCTCAGCCCTATAAATAATAGTCCAGGGCCGCACTTCAAAATAGAAATATACATTAGATTTTGATACAAGTAAATTTAATTATATTTATTATTTAGGAATAATTTCAATATAATTACCTAAAGTCACATATCTTACAGTTTTAAAAAGCAAGAGAATGCCATTTTTGACAACAACTTTTCAATATGTAAAAAGAGATATTACACAAGAAATTATGTTAGTAATAGCAAAACATTGAATTTCATGCAGCCTGCTAATTTATGTCTGCGTGAGACTTCTTGTCTTCTGATCTGTTGGAAAATTGTCTTTACAAAAAATATTTCTAATAAAATTTTAATATTGATTTTAATATCAGTTAGCTCTAAAAGTTGAGGGGCCGCACTTTGTGGCTATGGGGGCCGCATGTTTTACGCGGCTGGTCTAGATAATGTGGGAGCCTCAACGTCTCACAACCCTATGGGCCTTCACGGCCTCTTAGAGGGATAGCTTTACTTGCTTTACTTACTTATAAGACTGTGATACAGAAGGCCGGATGGGCATTGCCCAGGCTTTCTTTGTGTGTATTTATTTCTTTATTTAAAAAAAACAGTGTATATCACTTTACAATGGGAGCCGGGATAGCGTAGTCGGTATAGCGACTGGCTACGGTCCGGACGACCGAGGGGCCGGAGTTCGAGTCCCGGTAGGGTCAAGAATTTTCTCGTCGTCCAGACCGGCTCTGGGCCCCCCCAACCTCCTATCCAGTGGATACCGGGGGTAAAGCGGCAGGGGCGTGAGGCTGACCACTCACCTCCAGCCAGTGCTGAAGTCAAGAAAATGTGGATCTATAAATCCATTCCCCCATACGCCTTCATGGCATAGTGCTTAATTATTTAAGCACAGGGACAATTTTACCTTTTATGACTTCACAATTCGGGAGTCACTGAGACTAGAAATGAACAGTGCAGTAAGCTCTCGTCCAACGCAGGGGATATGCCCGTCGAAAATGACGTGTTGTGGATGTCAACTGAATGTTTGTAGGATGCCACTGCGGCTCGTATGGCAGACCGCGTATAATCGAATCCGCGTTGGTGGAGCTTTTGCATTACTTCTTAATAGGATACCTCGCTCATAGTGCGGAAAGTACTGGTTAACTCCATGATTGCTAAATTTCTGCTGGTCCTCGCCATCACAGCGATTTTTATTTCCCAGTCCCTACAACCTTACGGCTCTGGGAGCATTCAGAACTCTTTCGCCTACTGCAAGAGCTGCTTCATGCACTGCTGCGGTATACATTTGTCTTATATACGAGGGCGGGAAACAGAACATGTATTTTATTTCTTGCTTAATAACGACACAACTGAAGCGAAGTCCACCGGCCTGTTCAAAAAATTATGGTGGCTGTTTTCAGTTCACAGGTGCGCAGTGTCTGCGCAAGCGTAAATTCCTCCCCCACCCTACGACAAATTCTTCTCCCTTGTCAGTGAACACAGCTCACATTTCTCTAAACTTCGTCATAAAGGAAACTTTTTCAGAAAACATGACTAACACTGTCGTAATTAGTAGAAAACAATTCTTAAGAAAAACCTCCTTTTATGTCGTTACGTGACATGTTCAGGTAAATTCAAATTGATGGTCAGGATATGAAGAAAACAGTAGCGGAAATTCGTTTTCATTTATCAAAAGTAAAGAAAATGTTCCGCCCAAGGGGGCCTTTTGGTTCTGCTGTGCTCTTGCCCAGGGCCAGGTACGGATTTAGGGGGGAGGTACCGGGCCCATCCCCTCGAGGCCTCTACAAAATAGATACAGAACCCATCGATTTCATTCTAGTATTTGCTTCTTTAAACACGAAAAATTATTTTCTTTCTTTAGTTATTAAAATAAGCAACAACAAAGAGCTCTTACTTTTAGGCTATACGGTCATGTAATCCGCTGGAAGTCCACCGATGTTTCGGAGGAACATGTCGCCTACATATTCAGAAGCGAAGTATGAGCCGAACAAGAAACCAGCGTGAATAAGGTAACAAACAAAACTGGTTTCTTTCTTTGCTTATGCTTCGACACTGTAGATGAAAACATATTTATCCGAAACTTTGGTTGACTTTCAACGGATTGCACAACGTTATATCCCAGAAGAATCCCTTTGTAACCACCTCTATGACAACCTCAAACCCTGTGACAAAAACAAAGAATTTTCTTAACCTAAATTTGTTGTGGGATATATGCAGTGACTCAGAGCCTAGTTTCACTTTCAGGGCTATATAATGAGTCACAGTGGGCGCTACTTTCCGACTTCGTGCAGGAGCACCTCTCGGTTTGATCATTAGGAGCGCTGGTGTCGACATGTAATGTACATACAAGCTATTTTCGTGTTCGTGCAGTTATGCTTGTTCTTTGCACGGAGCGTACTGTTTTATCAGCGCACGGTCATTTTGAACATTGACTTTCCATTCGAAACGTATGTTCACTAAGAGCTATACAGTCCGGATTAATTGGGGGGGGGTCATTTGGATTAAGCGATAATCCGGATCACTGAAGCAAAAGATAGCCATAAAAGAGAGAGAGAAAAAAAACAACTGAGAAAAAAAAGAAAATGAAATTTTAATAATATGGGCAGTGCTGAGGACAACAAATAAAACATATCAGTGCAGCAATTTCTTCCTCTGTCAGAAGCTGAAATCCAGGGTCTCCTTCATTCAGCTTAAGCCGACTTCGGTTATTTTCTTGCGTGGTTTCAATCTCTCCAGCTGCCCTCAGCACAGCCTGAAACTCCTCTTGCTCTAATCCCTCTTGCTTCTAAATCCCGTGCGTCTTTCAAAGTATGTACTCAACTGTGATTAGAATGTTTCATTTTTCATAACTATCGGGATTAGATTAGAGAGGTTTTACTGTATATGCATTCTTGTGAAAAGTTGTATATATTTGAAACTGTTTTTTAAACGTCTTCCATTCTTTACATGCAGAGTCTTGTTAATGAAGGAACTGTTAAGATCACAACGATTTTCATGCGCCTAGAGTAAACAGTAGGTTCTGAGAACAACTTGTGGT